CAAGATTGTATGAGATGTGCTGTAGACCTGCACGAAAGTTTAACCTAATTTCCTTATCCTCTTTGGTAAAAAATATTGATGGTGTTCCATCACACAATAACTCATGCGGAATGTCAAAAAAATAATGGCAAAGAAAGAACGGCTGCCCAGTAACTTACCTTTGTAGGTGCTACAAAAAGCATATGTGATTGATTTATGAATTGGCAAAGATCTTCCGTGTACTTATTATTTTCCTCCTTAGAACTTCCTGGTTCCTGAAGAACAACAAGGATTTTTGAAGCAAACTTATTGTTACAATTATTAAGACCTCGTAATAGAATGTGAACAAAGCGAGTTTTCTCGAGAAGATCTTCAACAATGGATGTTTAGAGACCATACTTTCAAAATATGTACACATCTCTATAGTCTGAAATATGTTGAAACATCATGAGACAGAGGAAGAAGTCATCCATAGCCTTTCAACCGAAATCGGCGGAACGGCTTCTACTCTAAGTAGTAGTCGCAATTTAGATTCTAAGCACTGATCAGATTCGTCAAGAATGATGCAGAATACTTGACTAGTGGCTATCTGCGTTGCAAATACGATTTCAGAATACGCACCCGCGATGCTTCACTCTTTTAACTGCTCCACATAAAGACCGTAGATGCTTACATTGTTGAGATAGTATCGCAGTCCTTCAAGTCCATTTAGCCGCACGGACATCCATATCTTTAGCGCTTTGTTTCTTCGACTTACGTGAATGCCCCAATCGCGCATATCCGTCTTATCTGAGAAAATCAACAAGGGTTAACACACGAATCGCATCTGAATAGATTATAAAACCTTGCAACGGGAAGTTTTGAAAAGAAGCGGTGTTGAATGCGTCTTTGTAGATTTGCCGTTCTTTTGTCCACACTAAGCAGGTCATTCCCGAGAACAACAGAAATTTGTGTAAATCGACATTGATTGAGTGAACATGTGCAAGTGCTTTTCTAAAAAAGTTGAGGAATCAATCAGCTTTTTT